GGAATTAGCATGTAACTTTTCCATCAGTTCATATATTTATGGGAGATATTTTGGCTAAGGCTGAATGTAAAAACGATTATGTGTACTTGTTAATTATGGAAGGTACAGGAACATAACAAGCCCACAAATAATCCTTGTATGTCCTGCTCTGCCCTTGCATGCCATCATTCTCCCTCAGAAGTCTGAGCTGTGTCCAAAGTTGGTTGTAGGCTGTGTTTTTGACAATAGCAGGGTTGTAATGGAAACTGTCTTCAGCACCTAAGTTATGGGGCCCAATACAGTGAGTACCATACAAGTAGTGGGTCTGCCTGCCCTAAATTATGCCTGTTAATGTGACCCCATCATTATTCCCAGGATCTGTGCCCTTCGCCCTTGATCTCATTTCTGCAGGATTTAGACAAGTGTCAGACCCTTGGAATGCTACACAATAGTGACCTTGATTCTCTCACTTTGCTGCAAAAAAAAAAAAAAATGAGTTTAAATCTAGTGTTAAAATGACATGGAATGCTTTGTAACCAGATTAGTCCTGATACAAACAAATCCCTAGCCCTCTGTCCAGAGGCATCTGGTTTTTGATTTGGCTCAGGCTTTCTGGTCATAAGGGTAGCTAGTGCATGTACAGAAGACTAAAGCATCTTTGTTGTTGTTGCATTTGATATATGGGGAATTTCAGGTGATTCTTTCATAGCGTTAAATTTCCAGATATTATTTCTAAAGCTTTGCCCTTATAATTGTCAAAATACAACTCTTTAAGGGGAGAAAACAAACAAACAAACAAAACACTGCTTGGTACAAGATGCCAAAATAAAGATGGTGGGATGGTTAGTGTTTGATAGATGAACAAGTGGAAAGGGGGTGTAATTTGGAACCAAGAGGCACCACCCCAAGGCTGGTCCCAAACTCCTTTGGGGAGAAAAAGCAGTCTTTAATTACATCTGGTACTCGTTAATTCTTTTTGGAGTCTCTTTCCAGATCTGTTCCCCCATCAGCCTCCCATCGAGCAACAGAAATTCCAGATGGTTCCCTCCATATGCCCATGCTCATTCTCTCAAGTAGGATAGATTGGTCACTGACAGAGCAGGATGGAAAAGCCTTGGTCAAAGCAAGGCAAGATGAAAAGCATCAGGCCACAGTTAATTTAGAGGTGGTCTATCATTCATGTTTTAAGTGGTTTGTATAAATGTTACTGATTGATTTTTTTCTGAAATGTTGTGAATAATTTCATGGAAATGAAGCTACTTAAAGAAAGTGGCATATTGATCCTAACTTTCTACACGTGGGAAAGATAGAAATCCACTAGAAGCTGTCATTGTAGCTCAGGGTTGGTCAGTTTGGACGTGTAGCTGATCTGCTCTGGAGACTAGTTTGGAATGGATTCTTTTGCCTATGTTTCTTGTGTGGATAGCTGTAGTCTCTGTTATTATGGTACAAAATATCCTTGATACAAATATTTATAGGGCATTTGTTTCTTTCATCTTCACAGAAGTTTTTTTATTAAGCACATTGATAGAATTTCTATTTTGAAGTAGTTGGGAGTAAAGATGAGGTCAACCTCCATTTAATGAAAAAATATACAGTTGACCTTGAACAACATGGGAGTTAGGGTGCTGATCCCCCACCCTGTGCAGTCAAAAATCTGTGTATAACTTTGAACTCCCCCAAATGTAACTACTAATAGCCTACTGTTGACCAGAAGATTTACCAATAACAGAAACAATTAATACATATTTTGTAGGTTACTTATAATATCTATTGTAGTCTTACAATAGTAAGTAAGCTAGAGAAAAGACAATGTTATTAAGGAAATCAGAAGGAACATAATGGACATTTAAAGTACCATATTGTATTTATCAAATACAGTGGATCCGTGCAGTTCAAACCTATATTGCTCAAAGGTCAATTATATTATTTCAAGTATATCGCATTGTACTTATTTGTTTATCTGTCCTCATCTGATGATGGGAGACATGTCTTCCTCATCTTTGAATTCCTACCACTCAACAAGATTTGACACATCACGTGGGAGGAAAAGAAAGAAGAAAAGGTGACTAGACAGATCCAGGCAATTTCAAAGTAAACTAAGAGCAATGTTTCTACTCTTGTCTTCATCCTATACGTCCTCTTGTATAGCTATTATATTTTACATGTGGGGTGTGTATATGTTCTTTGGTGTTATTTTTGAGTATCTACTGTTCAAGGTCCTGAGCAAGTAAATGTAAGAATTGCAGCTGTGGTCTCTGTTCTCATGGAGCTTGCAATAGTTAAGCTACCTGCGATTTGTGTGAAATTTGTTGGTATATTTGGAATGGATAGGGCAATCAAAAGGAGAAATTTCTTCTAAGAGGAGTATGTGATAAAGACCAAAAGGACAGAAATTGTCCTATTTTAACTGATAAGTATGTTAAAACGAAGCCTAATATCATGCTTCTGTGCGTGTGAGTACTCTGTAGATGAGATAAAACATTTATTGAAGCAATTTAATCATTTTTAAAATCAGGCTTGGCAGCCAAATGTTGGTAGTTGGGCCATAGGTTGGAATAGATAGGGGTTATTGGCATAGAACTTTTTTAATTTTTAAAGGTGCTTGCTTGAAATAATTTGCATCTTAATTTTGAAGTCATGTTAAACTCATGAACTTCCAAAATGTGTGTTAAACCTAGAACATTCTCTGGATATTTCACTCTTTTGTTTGAATGTTTAAAAAAATTTTTTTTTAATGTTTACTTATTTTTGACACAGAGAGAGACAGAGCATGAATAGGGGAGGGGCAGAGAGAGAGGGAGACACAGAATCTGAAACAGGCTCCAGGCTCTGAGCTGTCAGCACAGAGCCCAACGCGGGGCTCGAACTCACAGACTGTGAGATCGTGACCTGAGCCGAAGTCGGACGCTTAACCGACTGAGCCACCCAGGTGCTCCTGTTTGAATGTTTTTAAAGCACCAGAGATGAAATTGAAATATTTATTTATTTTCGTCTTAGCCTGATGGTTCATTTGTATCTGTTACCAATGTACTCTTGAGTTTAAGTTGTGTAGGGACCTAAACTCTGCAGATCTGGGAAATCTTTATTTAGCAACTGTATCTTTTTTTTGTTATTTATTTATTTATTTATTTATTTATTTATTTGAGAGAGAGAGCACAGGCAGGGGAGGGGTAGAAGGAGAGGGAGAAAGAATCTTAAGCAGGCTCCACACTTGATGTAGAGCCCGACATGCGGCTTGATTTCATGACCATGAGATCATGACCTGAGCCAAAATCAAAAGTCTGATGCTTAACTGACTGAGCCACCCAACAACTTTATCTCTGAATTCACAATAAGCACAAGGGTTGTTAAAAATGGATTCCCATAAGAAAGTTACAGTGGGTGAGAAAGGCATAATTACACTAAGGACCAGCCCAGTGACAATCATCTCCTTACACACACTAATTATGGATGTAATTATAATATGTTTTAGTGTTCTGATATTAGAATGTATAGGGTATCATGGGATAGCAAACCAGAGACAGATTTCCATGGCAGGAGTGGTGGATCCAGTGAGGAGACTGGGAATATCTTACTAGCAGAGCTAAAACTTGGGTTGATTTTGAATGGGTGAGTAGGTGGTGGCTGTTGGACCACAGCCATACCTTGAGAACCATTGTTCTCTTGTCCGACTGAGAGACAAGGGAAAGGAGAAAGTGCCTACTGGAGAGATTATGAACCAGGCCTAGAGAGGTCACATTTCAATCCTTCCTATATTTTATTGACTATAGCTCAGTCATATGGGCTTCACCATATGCAGAGGAGGCTAGAAAAGATAGTCTAGCTGTGAACCCCGTAGGAAAAGAGAAATTGTTTGGTTTACAACCCTAGAGTCTCTGACCCAGGAAGGTGTGGCAGTCTTATAACTAGCGAAGTAGGGACTAGAAAAGACACCCTATGAGAAATTACTTTGGTGGAGGGCAGGTCCTTTAGAACAGCAGGGTACATTGTTTCCTGGAATGAGACATGAAATTATGTTAACAAAATTCCTTAAAACCTTTACATGTGTCACTGATTATGGTACTTGAAATTTAAGCAGAAACATTTATTTGAGATCTTTAATTTGTGTTGAATTACTACTAAGCCTCAGAAAGTAACACTTAATACTTTGGCATACACAAAATATTTTCTGTTTTAAATAAGAATTTTTATTCATGTATTGCCTTATTGTTACTTTCAGACAAAAATCTTTGATTCTTTTTCTTTATGAAGTTGTATGGAAACTTTATGAAATGGGCGATGAAGAACAACAGTTTTGTGTTGTCAGAGGAGCTCTACAAGCATGCCAGGTTAATTGACAACAGTACCAGTAATGAAAATATCCAGCATTTCTTGAGCACACACTAGACCTTTGCTTTACATCGTAGGAATTAGGAGATTGAGAATTACTTACTAGTACTGTATAAGCACTTTAGATTTGTGAACTCATTTCACCCTCACAAGAACCCTGTGAATGAAGCAGGCATTTTTATTATTCCCATTTCACAGATTAGATAACTGAGGCACAGAAAGGTAAATGTGTTGGTTCATACAGTTAATAAGTAGCAGTGCTGGGATTCACATCCAAGTCATCTGACTTCAGAAGCCAAGGTCATATCTCTGCTTCTCTGCCTCCCTGAAATTACAGTCAAAGTGAAGGGAAGGGCCGAAGGATAGGGAACTTTCCTATACATGGGCAGTAAAGTAGGCCTGGGGGAGCTGTTTGAGGCATAAACACTGCCTTTTGGCCATAATGCTTATTTTTTTAGGCAATGGAAGGATTTATTAATCATGCATTTTTTAAACTCCTGTCTCTTTATTAAGGCCTAGTCCTTTGAAAACTACTTGTTCTAGTTGCTGTACCCGGCCTGGCATTGGTAGCAACATAAGCAGCTCCTAAATTGCCTAGAGAATCTCAGGGTAAATCACTAGAGGAGAGAAGGCAATTCTTGTATTGCTTATGCGTCTGTATTGCTTATGCGTTTCTTTTTCTTCTTCAGACAGGACTGTCCTTGTGGATATGAATCTTCCATTCCTCAAAGGCCTCTATGTGATGGGGACTTTAGAATTCCCTGTGGACAGAAGCAATGTTCTGAGTGTGGCATGCATGGTCATTGTAGGCGGGGAGCTGAAAGTTGGTGAGTAGAGGGCACATGGATTGGGAGCATAATGGGAATTAAACTCTGTGAGAAGGGCCTTGGGAAATGATGGTATCATCTAGCAGGTTGCTTAATAGAGTTTGGGGAGGGCTAAGGCAAGGGGCAAGTGTACTAGTAAAACTTTTCCTCTGCAAGCTTTAGACAACACAGACAGAAGTGACTTTGATTGGTCGGTCGTTCTTGGATGTCCGCCCACTGTCATCAGGCCATGTTTCTGACCCTAGGGACCTCCAGCTGCTGCACATGGCAGGCCTCTTGTCCTTCTCCAGGCCACAGATCAATTCTTCCCTTTGGTCCTTTGTATGAGAGTTTACCTGTGGCTCATGCTTTCAGAAGGATTTATTTTTTGGTTAACTAACTCACACTAAAATTTCAATTGCTATCTTAGTGTGGATCCTTGGGAATACAGACCTGAAAGCAAAATATGTGCTAATGCTTTACTGGGGCAAATAATCACAGTGAAGTGACAAAAGGGAAGTGAAAGAAAAAAGAGAGAAAGCAAACACAAGATGGTCACAGCTGCTTAAGGAAACAGGGCTATTTGCTTGGCTATGTGAGGTGCCTTGAGAGAAGCCTTATAGAGTCACCACATCTTGGGACAATAAGGGGAGCAGCTGGGGAGAAGGGTGGAAGTTCACTTTGTTCACCCCAAACCCATGAACTTGGTCTTTCTTTGTTATGTTTCATGGCTCTCTGGGAATCTAGTGGAGGGGCCAGAGGCTCAGTAGATGCCAGGAGATGGGGCTACCCCGGGTAAGAAATGAAGCATGTTGCTGAGGCCAGGGGACAAGCGGTTGGTGTAGATCTGGAGGTTAGTGTATTAGTCAGGTCTGGTGCATTGGCTTATGCAAATAAAAAGTCTGAGTTTGTATAGGTGAACTGTATACTTGGAGCTGTTGTAAGAAGTAAGTGTACAATGATAAAAAAAACATGTACTCTGACCCCAAAGGAGCTACTTTTGAACTCAGTAAGGCAATCTGCTTTGCCCCTCCCACCCCCACCCCCAAAGGAGTTAAAAGAGAATTCCCAGGAACAGTAATACCTTACCCCAAAGAAGTAAGTTACTGATGGTGAGGAATGGAAATACTTAGATATTTTTATTAGGTAGCATCCAAATGTTAGAATCTCTGGTGAAAGAGATTTCTAGGTCTAACCACCTGTCTAGAGTTTAAATCACTGTGAAGATTCCTCAAAAATTATGGTCAAGCCATTTCTCAAATACTTCCAATGACAGAAAAATCAGAACATTTTAAGATAAGCTGTTCTCATTTTTAAAAATTCTATTTAAATTCCTGTCCTTCTATTAAGTCAGTCTGTCTTTCTCTAATATCTGTTGGTTCAGGTTCTTTGATCTGATCTGTACAGGATGAGTTTCAAATTCCCTTCCCTTGATAGCCCTTCATTCACATTTTCTTGAATATTCTCTTTTTCAGATTTTGCAGTTCCTATTATTTTAACCACAGTTAAATCATAGTTATTGTAATCATTGTTATTATTATGATTACATAGATATATTGTTGTATCTTTTTAATCATAGTTATTGATACTTTAATATAATTTTTATTTTTCCAATACAAAACTGGAAAATGGAGAAAAGCAAATAGAAGTTACATAACAGATATGAAGTAATCATTCATATTCCCAAATGTAAAGATAACCACAGTTATATTTTGTAGTCTTGTCTTTTTTTTTTTTTT